TGCAATTATGAGTTTATGAGCCCTTGTGCCTTGGCCCAATTCTGTGCAAGTACCAGAATCATTGACGGTGTTACCCAAATATGCAGCCAGTTCCATATTTCCTCCCTCAAGGTTGGGTGGATCTGGCCCCAGTGTTGGTCTTGGGGATGTGAGGGATCATGGCTGTTGTGGCTGTCATACAGCCTTTCTATAACAACCTTGAAGTCTGGCCTGGACTGCAGAGTGAAGGAGATATAGGCATTGCATCCCACTCTGAAACTTTTGGCAGTTTCAGTATGCCCTCTTGTATACTTGAAAAGGAAATAGTTACCAGCCCTGGAAAGAAAGAAATGGCAACCAATATAGCTCAATTGTACACTTCACAGGAAACAACCTGCTCTCAGTTATGCATTTTATATAATAATGAATACATGGACAGGGAGCCATGATCCTAGATCACACCTACTCTGCAATGCTTTATGAATGCAGGCCCAGATTACCACCTAATTGCTTTTACATAATTGATACCAACGATTACCAAACCCTACATGTCCTGTCCAATTCTTTCAGATAAACATGAAGTGACTAGGGGTTGTTTCTGGACTGGGATATGGGGGGGGGAGGGGTCATTTAGTCTTATCTGGTGTACTGTGTGGTCATAGGTACGCTCCCACTAAACCCATCCTTTCTCTTCCTGTGTCTCCTCAGCCAGAGGCCTTAGGACCACGGCTGAAGGCTGTTACTGCCTCCTTTTGAATCGGCCTTCCTCTTTCCCCGCCACCATCAGGATGCTAAACTACAATACCACCACATATGGGCGGCCCTTATTCTGCCGGCAAACCCCATTCTCACATACTTTGATTTCTTTACTTTATGAAAGGCCATCGGACCATAATTGTTTTGGAAGTTTTGTTAACGGTTTTGAGTGCATGGGATTTCCCCACAATTTGCAACAAACCTGTATTTGATCACCTTTTCGTTTATTTTGTGTGTGGCGTGTTTCAGAAACTACCAGAAAGCCTTTGGTTTATGGCCTCCAGGTGTTTTTTTTTAGGAATTAAGTTTCTTTTTTATCACATGGACCTCAACCTTTGTATCCCCTTTTACTGGGGTTTCATCTAACACCATCTGCTTGATGAATTCTGCCATACAAAGCCTGCAAAACAAAATAACATTACAGTGTGATGTTCCACTGCAGGAACCCCATACAGAAACCAGATACCTGCATTACCCCCGGACTGAAATTAACCCTGACAACTTGCACATCCCTTCGAGGTGTGTGCCTTGTCTGAGAGAGCGAATTGGAACAGAAAGGGTTGGAACTGGCCCAGAGGGTCAATTAATGTATATTTCTGTCATTGATATGAACAATCTGGGGAATACATAACCTGTTTAACAACTCATCTATGGAATGGTACCTGAACTTCACAAGTACAGACAGCTGAAAAACTTGACTTGAGCTCTGTTGTCATTGATGTGGATACTAACCCATACACCCTTTTATCATTCCATTACTTCAGAATAGATTTGTTAACAGTTTAAGGGTATAAGGAGAAACTTGAGTTAACCATAGGAATGTTTTGTCTAGTCCTTAGATACTCTCTGTAGGTTTCTCTTTGACCCCTTGCCACAGAGACTGGATCACTGAGTCACATAGTTGATCACTGAGAGGTGGAGCCTTTGCCTACTTTACCACAGGGCCTGCGGTGAAGTAAGCAAAGGCTCCACCCCTCAAATCAGAAGATTGGTTCTGCCACAGGGGCCCATGAAGAGGAACCCCAAGAAGATTGGTTCTGCCACAGGGGCCCATGAAGAGGAACCCCAAGAAGATTGGTTCTGCCACAGGGGCCCATGAAGAGGAACCCCAAGAAGATTGGTTCTGCCACAGAGGCCCATGAAGAGGAACCCCAAGAAGATTGGTTCTGCCACAGGGGCCCATGAAGAGGAACCCCAAGAAGATTGGTTCTGCCACAGGGGCCCATGAAGAGGAACCCCAAGAAGATTGGTTCTGCCACAGGGGCCCATGAAGAGGAACCCCAAGAAGATTGGTTCTGCCACAGGGGCCCATGAAGAGGAACCCCAAGAAGATTGGTTCTGCCACAGGGGCCAATGAAGAGGAACCCCAAGAAGATTGGTTCTGCCACAGGGGCCCATGAAGAGGAACCCCAAGCTGCTAAATGAGAATAAACTGGGAAGTTATGAAGCTCTACTGATTTCTAGCAAATGAATTGAACTATTAAATGAATACACAAACACTGACAAACATTTGTATTGGTTTCCATTTATTAAAACAGTGGACAAGACAATCTGTAAGCTATTCATGTTAAATTGGCAACAGCATGGATCTGAGGCTTGTGTAAAAAGTGGATTATACACAAAACACATTCTGTCTCAGTAGCAAATTGACAGAAGTTTTCTACGACGGGTTCGTGTCACATCACACCACACAGGTAGCTAAATTGTATTTTTTTAATTGGTTACGAGACAGTGAACGAGAAGGAAATGTGCCTGTCCACAGCGCGCCACAGATAGAACAATGAGACATATTTCACCGGGTGTGGCGTTTCCACTCATTACCAAAAATGGCCGGCAGTGGGAGAAGATGGATTTTGGCCGATATTCTGCTAATTTTCTCATCGATGAAACATTTGATCTCAATACAGTTTTCTGTTTCTAAAACTCGAATCTGTTACGAACTGAGTGGACAATTTTTTTTAGGTTTGACCCTTTGCCAACGTATTCTTTTTTTGTTGTTGCGTTGTTTAGTTGTGCAAAGGCGAATTTAGTTATTGCACACGTGCACTTCACAGAGTAGGCGTTCCCTAATGGAAATATGCAAATACATGCTAGAACGCGCCAATAGGCTCTCGCTAGCTCGTGCTTGTCTCTGCCCACCTTCTTGCTTGTTCTACCCACTATGATTAATTTGCTCAGACATTCATGTAAGAAATGGTCTGACATCAAACACTTGGTTCAGACCTCTAGGAGACATGGTACACAAACAGTGAATCCAATAGATTAATCAGCAAGTGAAGTCAAGAGCTGATAACATTGTAGATGCTTGTTCATAATCCCTCTCCTTCCTTCATTCACTCCCCTCCGGTCCCTTTCAGACCCAGCTACTATCAACCATGTCAATTATGATGAATTTGAGATTCGAGTGAGAGGTAATTCACTTATTGGTAGCTAATGGTAGCTTCCTCAAAAAATTCTACAGCTGCACCATCGAGAGCATCCTGACTGGTTGCATCACCGCCTGGTATGGCAACTGCTTGGCCTCTGACCGCAAGGCACTACAGAGGGTAGTGCGTACGGCCCAGTACATCACTGGGGCAAAGCTCCCTGCCATCCAGGACCTCTATACCAGGCGGTGTCAGAGGAAGGCCCTCAAAATTGTCAAAGACTCCAGCCACCCTAGTCATAGACTGTTCTCTCTGCTACCGCACGGCAAGCGGTAACGGAGTGCCAAGTCTAGGTTCAAAAGACTTCTCAACAGCTTCTACCCCCAAGCCATAAGACTCCTGAACAGCTAATCATGGCTACCCGGACTATTTGCACTGCCCCCCCACCCCATCCTTTTTACGCTGCTGCTACTCTGTTAAGTATTTATGCATAGTCACTTTAACTCTACCCAAATGTACATATTACCTCAACTACCTCAACTAACTAGCCGGTGCCCCCGCACATTGACTATGCAACGGTACCCCCCTGTATATATAGCCTCCCTACTGTCACTTTATTTTACTGTATATATAGCCTCCCTACTGTCACTTTATTTTACTTCTGCTCTTTTTTTCTCAACACTTTTTTGTTGTTGTTTTATTCTTACTTTTTTGTTTAAAATAAATGCACTATTGGTTAAGGGCTGTAAGTAAGCATTTCACTGTAATGTCTGCACCTGTTGTATTCGGCGCATGTGACCAATAAAATTTGATTTGATTTGATTTGGACCATCCCCAGCCATTGTGCGTTTTACCCAACATGACCCCCTGACCTCTGTCCTCAGGGACTTGTAGTGAAGACTGGTGGTCCTTCCAGGGTAGTTGCTACCTGGCATCAAAAAGGAAACTCAGCTGGAACAGTGCTGAGGAACAATTTATCGAGCTGGGAGCACACCTGCTTGTTCTTAACAGTGAGGATGAGCTGGTAAGGCAGTATTGGTCTCACATCAGGGTCTGTTGGCTGTGTAAATGTGCGTTAAAGGTCCACACGAATGACACAAGCTTTGGAATGATGCGGACTGCACCCTAAAGTACATTTACATCTGTGAGGCAAACGGGAAATGAGAAACAGTAGATCCACGTTTGCCATTGACATGAGCTGTAAGCTATGCCAGTGCTGCCTCACTGATATAACATTCTCTGGGTACAGGAGAAAGGATGGATTTCTTTCAGTGACTGTATATAAACATCACATTTTGGTATTGTTTGTACCAGACTGTTGAGCAGAAGAAGCACACAGTGCATAATATTATTCACAGAATAATGTTTGCTTAAAGCTTGGCATGTCAGAATTTAACAGCTTCCTTAGTTATTTTCATCAGATATTTTTCTGATATTTGTGGGTGAATATGAATAGCAAGGGAGATTGAAACCGACCAATAACCAACACAGAGGCACATATTGGATCGTGACAGTTGTTACTGATTTCAAGAGAAGCACATGCTAGTACAGTACTAACAGAAAGCAGGGAGGTGGGCCACTGCAGGTTATACACTGGTTTCCCGTGCATTTCCTTCCTAGCAGTGCTCACCGGGAAGGTGCTCATGCTCTGGGTTTACTCTGCCTTGGCAAAGCACATGGCTGCCTTTGTCGCACTCACAGAATCTCACATGGATCGTTGTTTTCTGTATAACAGAGAGAGACAGAAGAAAGAGAAGGATGGGTAAATGGCATGGCAAGTTTAAGGGGGAAGTAAAATAGAGCTTCTTCAATCTAAAGGATCCAGAGGACTAGAACATCCTAAAGAGGGTACTGTTGCAGAAAAAAAGTTGACAAAGGGACCGTTTTTTAATCATAGAATTATGCTGAACACTCATCTTTGCAGGAGACAGTCTTAGAAGCTCTATCGCACTTGTAGCTGTATATTTCAGTGTAAGGGTTGTCAAAGATGGTCCAGCAATCCTCATGCTGGATGGCATCAGAGTAGCACTGATCATGAATCTGACAGCAATTGGAACACAGGTGGCATCTGTTTCAATACAAGTATGTCTGACTTAGCATAGCTAATTGACTTCACGATAAAGCTACTATATATAGCCCCCCCTCCCCCTACACTGTATAACTCGCCCATCCACCTACACAGTGTTCCCAGACTCACACTTATCCTCCTCTCAGATTCTTGCCTGGTGTTTCGTTACCCATGCCCCCCAGCCTCCACTCCATGACTGCGTACCTGTCCAGTGCATCCACAGGTGTGCCGAGCTGCCCTTCCCACAGTAGCAGCCATAGTCAGTATAGTCCAGCACAGGCCAGCTGTCAGGGTTGGCACAGACAATCATCATCACCCTGAACCAGGATAGTCTCATTGAGATAAAAATCTATTTTTCAAGAGACAGTATAATATGCATAGACTTAGTAAGTAATTGTACAAGGCTTGACTGTAGTCATGAAATGGAAATGTGTGGGAATTTAAGCATGTGTTTTGTCATTTACACAGCTGTCTGCTGGAATACAATGTTCTTTGGAAGAGAGTTAGGGGAAAGGCAAAATTTACCTTTTAGAGTATTAGCAATTGATAGGATACAGGAAAATGCTGATATTTTAACCCTAACAATGACTGCTTTAAGAAAGCAATATTACACTAGAGCAGGGCTCTCCAACCCTGCTCCTGGAGAGCTACTGTCCTGTAGGTTCACTCCAACCCTAACCTAGCACACCTGACTCTAATAATTAGCTGGTTGATAAGCTGAACCAGGTTAGTTACAACTCTCTGAAGCTGGAGACACTTATCTCCCTCACTAACTTTAAGCATCAGTTGTCAGAGCAGCTTACCGATCACTGCACCTGTATACAGCCCATATGTAATTAGCCCACCCAACTACCTCATCCCCATATTGTTATTTACATTGTTATTTATTTTGCTCATTTGCACCCCAGTATCTCTATTTGCACATCATCTTCTGCACATCTATCACTCCAGTGTTAATACTAAATTGTAATTATTTTGCACTATGGCCTATTTATTGCCTTACCTCCATAACTTACTACATTTGCACACACTGTATATAGATTTTCTATTGTGTTATTGACTGTACGTTTTGTTTATTCCATATGTAACTCTGTGTTGTTGTTGTTTTTACTGCACTGCTTTGCTTTATCTTGGCCAGGTCACAGTTGTAAATGAGAACTTGTTCTCAACTGGCTTACCTGGTTAAATAAAGGTGAAATAAAATAAACATCATATAACATTGTTACACCACTTCCTTATCTACAAAACAAAATGTATGTAGTAATTTTTTTTAGTAATGTGCCTCCCACAATCAATCTGCTCTGGATTTGGGGAGTATGAAGAGACCTCTGGTGGCATGTCTTGTTGGGTTGATGATCAGATGACAAGTTAAATCAGGTGTGCTTGTCCGGGGCTACATCTAAAATGTGTACTGTTGGGGATACTCTTGGACTGGAGTTAGGAAATACTGGTCTACACAGGCACTAATTGGTTTTTTGACCAATCAGATCAGCTCAGAAAAAGATCTGATGTGAAAAGATCTGATGTGATTGGTCAAAAGACCAATTAGTGGGAAAAAATATAAGAATTGGGCTGCGTGTGTAAACGCAGCCTAAGATATCCAGACACAATGTGTGTCTGACTACCTCCGCAGGTGGTCAGGAAGATCTAATAACAATCAGATCACGATGTGTCTTCTAATCATCTAAACCTGTCTAAAAATATAGGCACAATCGGAATGTGGACAAAATCAGGACAAAGTACGGATGTTAGAACCAGGTATAAACGGGGCTATGGATAGCAGCAATCCTGGGTAAACCAGTTTTTTTCCAGTATTTGAGCCCTGAGATGTCATTCAGATTCCTGGCTGAATGACACAACCCCTGCCAGTTTACCGCTCATCTTGTCACTTGTTCTCTTTAGCCTCCCTTCATCCAATATAAGAGGTCAAGTTGGTGTATCCCCCCGTTGTTTCCCCTGTCATGCATCCCACCGCCCTCCTGTTGCTGCTGACCGGTAAGACTGTCACATTCTAATTTTGATTAGAAGATTGTTGTCCCCTTGAACCAACGTGGAATAGACGTTGAATTTACGTCTGTGCCCAGTAGGCTGTAACTCTGTTATATGGAACGTCAATGTCAGGAATATGTGCAGTACATTTTTTACATTTTAGTCATTTAGCAGACGCTCTTATCCAGAGCGACTTACAGTTAGTGAGTGCATACATTTTTCATACTGCCCCCCCGTGGAAATCGAACCCACAACTCTGGCGTTGCAAGTGCCATGCTCTACCAACTGAGCTACAGGAGGGCAAATAAGTTGTATTTTTTTAGTGATCCAATTGACATTTTAGTCATTTAGCAGACGCTCTTATCCAGAGCAACTTACAATAAGTGAGAGCATACATTTTTCATACTGGCCCCCCGTGGGAATCGAACCCACAACCCTTGCGTTGCAAGCGCCATGCTCTACCAACTGAGCTACAGGAGGGCCAATAAGTTGTATTTTTTAGTGATCCAATTGACATTTTAGTCATTTAGCAGACGCTCTTATCCAGAGCGACTTACAATTAGTGAGTGCATACATTTTTCATACTGTAGTGTGACTGATAGCTTCATCTCTTTCTTCTGCCAGCCTGCGCAGCCCATGGTTCACTGTTGCAATTTGTTAGAATGATCAAGTGCACCCAGCCTGATGTCAACCCCTTCATGTATAATAACTACGGCTGTTGGTGTGGCTTGGGGGGGACTGGGAATCCCAGGGATGAGTTGGATCGGTAACTGAATTTCATTAAACTTATGTTGGACATCATGCCCAGGTTTTTGTGTGTATATCTCAAACTCTTTACTTTCTCCTCTTTAACTCTCAGGTGTTGTGAGGTCCACGACCACTGCTATGAAGCGAGCAGGCATCTTCCAGAGTGTCGTCCCGTCATTGACTCCCCTTACATCAATCGGTACAGATTCTCTTGCACGAATGGGCAGGTCTCCTGTTCAGGTAACAACTGAACTGTAGAAACAAAATAATATGTGGACATACATTTGCAATAAACAATACAATCTGTCTAAGCTCTATGAAACTGTCAGATGCACTGACGTTTTGTTTTAAAGATGAGGTTTCAGCTTTGTCTGATTATAACTGCTAATAATGTTTATCATGAGCCTAAACCTGTGTCCTTACTCCTCAGCCTCCAACCATGTGTGCCAGGCCTCAGTGTGTGAGTGTGACCGTGTCGCCACCAATTGCTTCACCCAGTCGACCTACAACCCTGAGAACAAGAACCTGGACCCCAAAGTTCACTGTCTCTCCTGAGCCAAGTCAAATCTGGAAGCAGCACAAACATCTGAAACTAAATAGGTATACACAACTGTAGATTCACAGAATGTTTATGAATGAATTTTTTCTAACAAAACTGACAACCTGATTAAATTATTGAATGGCCCTCTTGAGTATTTGTGTTTGTTAGTTCTACATTTTTATTTAAGGCATAGGTGCCAGACTTGCAACCGTTTCAATTGAAACAGTTTCTCCAGCTCAAAATGCGTATCAGCCAATTCAAATCGTTGATTTATTTGCACGTGACAGAATGCTAAATTGTAGCTGGTCCCATCAGATAAAATGGCAAACGTTAGGCCTATGCTAACTTCACCAGGTGGCAGTGATTATATCCTGGAACAAGTTCTGCATCAGCCAATTAAAATCGTCGACGTAGTTGGACGTGTTCTTAACATAGCTCAGTCCAACAGCACATTCTGCTCATTAAAGCAACTATCACGTGTATTTGACTGACTGGCCAAATTGCTCAATGTCAAGTGCCTAGTCGCAGTGATGTGTATTCATGGGTGCCAAGGGAAGCCAGGCTTCCCCCCAAAAAAGTACCAATAAAAAAACATACTTTCTTTCGTCTCTCTATGTGTTTCATAATTTATTTAATACATTATAGTATAAAATAATACCCAATCAGCGTTGAGCTAAACTGAGTGAGCTCAACTGTGAATGGTCCTGACACACCAAAAAAGTGTCAAGGGAAGCCAGTTTGGATTTGGCTTCACATCAAAAGCAAAACTAAATTGACAGAAACAACTTGGAACTGTTGCAACCTCATTGTGGTGTTGTCCTCTGGTGGCTGGCTAGCTAAAATTGGCCCTTTCTTAAATTAGCCATGGATGGAGATGGGGATTTGGACTTCTGGTTTTACTTGATTCTCCGTACTGGTTGATTATAACGGTGATTCTGATCCAACCATAAATTCATATATTGTGCCCCTGGCCTGAGAGGATGGAAGTTCAATATGTAGCAGGCTAATTTTAACTAGCTGGCTCATCGTTGCCCATGAAAATAAGTTAGGTTAGCGAGCAAGCATTTTAGCCATGTAGCCTAGGACAACAAAAACTAAAAGCGTGTACGGTATGACCGTAATAGACCGTTTCGTCAACATTAAAGGGAGGAGGATGGCATTGGAGTTTCTCTACAAGAAGGGTGAGTAAACATGTTTTTTCTACTTGCACAAATGAACACACACAGAGAAATCAGAACCATGGACAGCCACATCATATTTAGCTTATCTTGGTATCTTTTAGTGGTCACTGAATTAGACTAATTATAGGTGATTTGATGATGTTGAAAATGTTGATGTTGGAATAGTGGAGGCAGCTCCTGTTTTCTTTGCGACTTGCGGTAACTCTCCGTGGTTCTAAATCAATAGTTGTTTAGTAATCCGAAAATGTCGGAAACATTAACTTGCTTGACCATGCTGTAGGTCATGTAACTGTTGGTTACATGCAATATGCTTTGTGGATTTCACTGGACAGAGGATGCTCTCCGGTTTTGTGATGAAACAAAGGTGTGTTTGAATTTATTCTGCCACTGTTTCTTCTCGTCTCGCCATTAGGTCTATATATCACGGTGGCAAGGCATATGAACTAACAAGTTATAGAGCGAACAACGCAATTATCATCTGTATCTCCACGGCGTACATCGGGAGAGTCCATGACACTGGCTATCTTCTTCAGGGTGACATGCTGTGGCTGTCCAAACTTCTCATTCAGGGCTGCCATGGTGTCTGAGTAAGGCGTGGGGGAGTTGAGGTATGAATCTGCCACTAGGCAGGCTTCTTCTAGCTTTAAGTAAACCAGCTGGCAGGAGGTTCCCTAGTGCGATCTTCAGGCGAGCGAACTCACTTGGATCTCGGCTGTTGAAGTTAGAGATGGTTGGTCTAGGCCCTCTATACGTCTGCAATGCTGCTGTGGCGGTGGAGCCTCTAGGGGGCTGCGGATGGTGTTGAGGGTCTGGACTAGATATCCATGGAACTTGACCTGGTCGGTGACCGGGTGGGTGCTCTGGTTGCCTTTGGCTGGCGGCTCTTTGTGGCTCATAGGCTGCTGCATCAAGGTGAGCCCTAGGAGGAAAAGACTGCCGGGTCACTGCACCAACGTAGCGCTGTGAAGGTGCGGCACTGGCCTGGTGAGGTGGTTGGCGATAGTCGAACAAGAAAAGGAAAGCCTCACACTCTAGGAGCTCAGATGCAATAATTTAATATCCTAATAACCAACGTTTCGACAGACAAGCTGTCAATAATGACAAACACTGCGGGTCACTAGTTTACAGTGCCTTGCAAAAGTATTCATCCCCCTTCGCGTTTTTCCTATTTTGTTGCATTACAACCTGTAATTTAAATGGATTTTTATTTGGATTTCATGTAATGGACATACACAAAATAGTCCAAATTGGTGAAGTGAAATGAAAAAAATAACTTGTTTAAAAAATTTATAAAAAATAAATTACGGAAAAGTGGTGCGTGCATATGTATTCACCCCCTTTGCTATGAAGCCCCTAAATAAGATCTGGTGCAACCGATTACCTTCACAAGTCACATAATTAGTTAGATTGCACACAGGTGGAGTTTATTTAAGTGTCACATGATCTCAGTGTATATATACACCTGTTCTGAAAGGCCCCAGAGTCTGCAACACCACTAAGCAAGGGGCACCACCAAGCAAGCAGCACCATGAAGACCAAGGAGCTCTCCAATCAGGTCAGGGACAAAGTTGGGGATAAGTACAGATCAGGGTTGGGTTATAAAAAAATATCAGAAACTTTGAACATCCCACGGAGCACCATTAAATCCATTATTAAAATATTGAAAGAATATGGCACCACAACAAACCTGCCAAGAGAGGGCCGCCCACCAAAACTCACAGACCAGGCAAGGAGGGCATTAATCAAAGAGGCAACAAAGAGACCAAAGATAACCCTGAAGGAGCTGCAAAGCTCCACAGCGGAGATTGGAGTATCTGTCCATAGGACCACTTTAAGCCGTACACTCCACAGAGCTGGGCTTTACGGAAGAGTGGCCAGAAAAAAGCCATTGCTTAAAGAATAAAATAAGCAAACACGTTTGGTGTTTGCCAAAAGGCATGTGGGAAACATATGGAAGAAGGTACTCTGGTCAGATGAGACTAAAATTGAGCTTTTTGGGCATCAAGGAAAACGCTATGTCTGGCGCAAACCCAACACCTCTCATCACACCGAGAACACCATCCCCACAGTGAAGCATGGTGGTGGCAGCATCATGCTGTGGGGATGTTTTTCATCGGCAGGGACTGGGAAACTGATCAGAATTGAAGGAATGATGGATAGCGCTTTTGTACCCCCTCTCCTTGAATTTTCTTTGCGTCTCAGCCATATTTCGGTCGAAATCTGATTGTTTTTTTACAAATCCTTTTGATTCGACAGAATTGGCTGTAGGGCAAACTTTTTTTCAAGGGAAGTGGGTGACAACTATCAGCCCTCAACAAACTGTTACGATTAGTAGGTTTCCTGTAAAGATCAGTGTATAGAACATTATCCTCACAAAAATCAGAAGATCAAGGAAACTGATTTGACGTGTGTCAGATTGCATCGTAAATCTCAGGTGCTCAGAACAAGAGTTAAGAAAAGCAAAGAATGCCTGGAGCTGTTTTAAGTCACCCCTCCATAGAACAAAAATATCATCAATGTACCGTTTCCAAATAATAATGTTAGGCAAGAAAACATTTGAGAGGGTTGAAAATTGACCGTTTCTCAATGTAACCCACATAGAAATTAGCATAGTTAGGAGCCATAGGGGATCCCATAGCGATAGTCCCCATCAGGGTGGTAACTTAGCTCTCTGGGACACGGCGAAGGTGTAGCCTCTCTTGAAGGGTGGCCTGGAGTCTTGACTACTGAAGCTGGTCTGCTCTGCTTAGCAGCAGTGGAAGTAGCCTGAACCCTCATGACTTTGAGCTCATTCATCATCTTATCCAGGAGGTCTACTACTTGTTCTTTCTCTGGCTGCTCTGATTCTTCCTCTGAAAGTCATGGTGGTGGATCAGGCCACCCACTATCATCGCATTCCTCTTCATCGTTATAATATGCCATTTAGCAGACGCTTTTATCCAAAGCGACTTAGTCATGTGTGCATACATTTTTACGTATGGGTGGTCCCGGGGATTGAACCCACTACCCTGGCGTTACAAGCGCCATGCTCTACCAATTGAGCTACAGAGGACCACAGGAGTTATCGTACTCAGGTGGGGGAATGAGGTGGACTGGGAGAACCGACTCAATTTGTACAGCGGGGCCAGCCTGTTGTTGAGTAGACTTTTTGAGGGTATAGCTGGCCGCAGTCGGGTTAAGGGGTGGCTGGATACTGCAGACCTTATCCACAAGCTTCCTCATTTCCTGTTTAACTCCGTCAAACTTGGCGAATTCTCTCTGTACGGCTAGTTGAGATACACGCAGCTTCTCATTCTATTTCTGGATCTCCTCTAGCTCTGCTTGGTAAGCTGTTGGCAGCTTCCTGTGTTCCCGGTAAGCATAGGGTATGGAGGCTTCTCTGCTTACCTCCATGTGCTCTCTTTTTTTTTCTCTGCAGGTTGTGGGCTAGCTGGGGTTCTGAACCATACCCTCTGTGGTGATGGCTCTGATGGGCCCTCTCTGGGGCAGCATCCCATTGAACCTGGCAAGTGGATGAGGTTGCACGTGACGAGGTGAAGGGGGTTATCTTGGCTGCTCCTTCATGATGAGAATAACACTCTTCTTGCCCATGTACATCATACCGTGCTGTGCTATGGTGTGGTGAAGCGTGCCGTTTATGGCTCACATAGCCTACCTCGTAATCTTGTAGATGCTGTGGTGGCCGTGTCTGATGCTTCAGACGAACTGCTGGCTGTGTGAAAGCTTCACTCACGTAGTAGTCTTGCATCTTTCTCTGGGAAAAAGCACTGAAGGTACGGCTTGAAGGACCACAATGTAGTGGAGGACCTGTTGGACAGTATATTCTTAGCGTT